TAAGGACAAACCTGCAGCTCACACACTTCCTCCAGGCTGGTTTGTAGTTTGGATGATTTCGTGGCAGCGCAGCAGAGAAATGACAAAGAGGAGCGTTTAACATTCAGGAGGCGTCTGCTGTGCTGCTCCACTTCATTCAGAAAGCTGCGGCTGAGCTTTGCTTCCACAGAGACGGCACAATGGAGGCGCTTCATCGTGACGGAGTCACGTGTCAGATTAGCACAAAGTTTTTTAAAGTCTGAGCTCGAGGCCTCTCAGTGGAGCTCAAAAAACAGCTTCACTCTGGCTGATCTTATGTTTTGATTTCATTGATTTGAAATGTCCAAAGTTTAGTCAGAGTCAAACTGAAAATCAGACATTGTTAATCTCACGATGAACGCCCGTGTCACGTTTCAGCTCATCTAAGTCTGCAGGAAGTCCTCTGGCTCCCTCTTGTGTCCACTCTGTGAATTACACTCAGGGCAGATCAGATGTCCTGTTCTTCTTCTTGTTCTGCCCTTTTTTCATTTCTCTTCCATAATTTCTCTTTACTTCTTCATTACATCATGTTGTTGTTGTTCCTTTTATTCTTTGTACTCCTCTTTAGTCCTCACTCCACCTTTCTTCTTTTTCTGATTCTTCTTCTACAGTTGAAGCGATGTTAAAGGTTCCCTCACTGTTTATACTCCCTTAAATCCAGCTGCGGTTTCTGTATTTGTGGTCAGGAGTTTATTTTTTACTCCTTAGTGATGCGTTCAGTGTTCAGCATCTCTCTCTCTTGACCTTCCTCATGCATCCTTTCTATTTTTGAACAATATCAGACATTTTTTCAGTAAAGTTTGTCTCCAGCTTCCAGTGTCTACTGAAACTTTACAGACACTGATGTTCATGAGATGATGAGAGAAGCTGGAAGCTCCCGGTTTTCCAGTTTTCCAGTTTTAAGAGCATCTCTGCTAAAGTCCGTGCGGATGTTGCATAATTTGTCCACCAGAGGGCACTCTGCAACCTCCCTGATGGAAACACAACAACCAGCTGAAATAAATGAATAAATAAACTGGCACAGGAAACAGGAAATCAGTTTAAACATCCTGTATCTGTGCGGCTTAAACGCCACCCGGTCATTCTGCTGGTTGCACTTCGTTAGCATCAGAGTGTTTACTGTGAGCTACAGCTGCCATAAACGACTAATGTTTCCGTCTTTATCAGACATGAAGTGAGCATCTGGGTGGTGTTACACAAAGCTGACAACAGTCAAAGGGATTCAGATGTGTTAAACTGCTTCGAGCCGTGGCTTCATGTACGCTGTGAGGCAGGATGTCTGCTCTGTAAAGTTAATCTCCATCCTGAATGATGCTGAGAGGCTGTTAATGAGCTCCCCGTCTCAATGTGCCCTCTGTGTTAATGAGCCGTGGGCCTAACGAGTGATTGATCGCAGTGAGCTGAGGGTCTTAATGATGTGAGGACATTAACGAGCTCTGGACTGATGGCTCAAGCCTTTCTCGTCTTTAAGCTTTAACCTGATTGTCTTCTGTTTGTTGGTGGATGTGAAACTGAAATTATCATTAGAAATGTTTGACCCGACCACCAGGGGTCAGTGTTGTCTCAGGGGAAAGCTTTGCTCTGTGTTTGTTTTAAGAGACGGGTCAGGACAACAACGAGGTTTCTGTGTTTGCATCCGTTCAGCGACCCGAGCGAGGACAGAAAAAGAGGAGTAACGATGATCAGATGTTTGTTGGCACGAGTTTTTTTTCAGTTTTTTTTTCACACTAAACGCCATTTTTTGACTTGTTTTTTTTGCAGTTTCTTCGTGTTTAGGATTATTGGGGGATCGGGAGTTGGTTGCTGTTTCGGCAACGTATTTCAGCTTTATGATGTTTTTATTACAACATGCTGACGTCGGCCTTTTGATGTCACTGTGATGTCAGAGGGCATCTTCTTCATGTTCTTCCTGTTTCCTCCTGTAGAGGGCAGTGCTCGTTATTACATCTTTAGGTTGAACCTTCTCATGATTTATTGATTATAAAATCAGTACATACACATGTTGTGTTGTGTTGGACTCGGTTAGCGTTTAAATGATTGTTTCATGTGTAACGACGTTACTTTAGCTTCTGTGCTCACAGCTCTATGAAATATCCTGAAGTCTAAATCAGTGATTTAGTTTCTCGCTGATACGTGTTTTTGTGAATGATGTGGGCAGAAGAATGAGAGAGAAGGAGAAGAAGGGCAAGAGGAGGAAGGTCAAGTGACAGGATGGAAGTAGGAGAGGAAGAGGTGAAGATGACAAAGAGGAAAGAGATGAGGGAGCAGGAGGAGATTAGGAGGCGGTGCGTTGATGTGGATGACTGCTCTCAGCCACCAGGGTGTGCGTGTGTGTGTGTGGCAAGGTGTTTCTGCACAGTGTACCAGGGGCACGGAGAAAAGTTGTCGTACCATAGGCACGAGGAGTGTGTGTGTGTGCGTGCATCTGCGCGTGTGTGTGTGTTATTTTCCTCTCGGGTCACTCAGGTGTGACTGAGCTTTTCGAGGCAGAAAAACAAACCGTAGGTAAACTCTGACTCTTCGTCCTCGTCTTCTTCAAGGATGAATTTTGATGTTTGCTTGTGAAAAACTTTAACTCTGTTAAGACGTTAGTGTTGGCGAGTTTTCACCTCTGACACAGTTTGAAGCCGTTTGACTACAAACGAGTCCTGTAACTTTTGCTGTGGTTATCGCTGCAGATCATCTTCACAGGCATGATGCAGGAGCCTCTGTGTCATAGCTAGAGGCTAACTGCATGTGTCATCGGGAATGCTGAGCACATGCAGGCAGATGCTTCTGCATGAAGCAGCCTTCGAACTCTTGCACAGACGGTCTGTGCCTTTTGTCGGCCTTTGTGCTGGAGCTGCTTCGTCACAGGGAGGAAATGAATTGCTGTTGATTTTTTTTCTGGTCTTTGTGTTTCTTCGAGGTCGGCGGTCTGTGCAGCACGGCTCTTTGTCTGATCACCTTGTGCAAAACTAGAATCAAATAGAGAATTATTCAATAAATGTTCTTTTCCCTCTAACGCACAAATATCGAGATACTATCAAGTTTTCCGACCGCTGTCCTGGATGATAGAATGATCGTCTGCTGCTGTTTTCTGATGACGCTCGTTTATTTTTTCAGAATAACTTTAAAAACACGGTCAGCATGCGTCCTTCTGTGAATGAACGGAGCTCAAAGCTGATCCTTAACCTGTAGCCTGCAGATGTCCTGTGACATGTTGACATGTTACACAATACAAGGTAAAACCTACTGTTCAGGTTTAACTGATAGATATGATTGATTAGTTATAGATATTTATCCTCAGCTCATTTCGACAGCAGTCAGAGAACATTTCTTTGTTTTAAAGTGATGCAGCGTTTCTTGAAGCTAACAGTTTTGTTTACCCAGACTTCCTCATGGCTCTGCTGCATGAAGCTCTTTAGTTTTGGAGCTGCGTGGATTTGTGAGTGGTCGTGTTGTTGTCGTTAACCAGCTGCAGTAACAGGTGACCCAATGATGTGAAAGCCGCTCGCTCAGTGAGTCGTGCTTGTATCAGATTTTATCAGCTGATGTTCACACTAACAGCAGAATCTGCTGAGTTTGGGTTTGAGGAAAGGAAATCAGGGAAGCAGGCTCCAGATTTCCAAAAACGTGTTTTCTTTATTTACAAGATAAGAAAACGGAGACGTCTCGGTTTTCTGTCTTTATCTCCTTTTAAGGTTTCTTTTCCAAAATAAAGGACAGGAAGCTGTAACTGTTCAGTCGGGATAGGTTTGGACCTAAACAACACTTCACTGAGTGGATCCGTACTCTCATCTTTCCTGTGTGGTGCTCCGTGGAAAGGAGCATTTGTATTTCCAGCTCTGGATGCTCTCGTTCGCTGTCTGCACGCTGACGTTAGAAGTTCCTGAAACATTTTCTGCTCATTGAGTTTAGCTTGGTGTGTTTTCTTGGAGTCGGCTTATTAAAGACCGCGTGTCTCTGTCGTACGCTGTCTTTCAGGACATCCTGAACAACCTGGACTCGTGCGATCTGGCTGATGATGATCTCATGCTGGACGCAGACTTCCCAGAGGATGGCTCTCTGCACAGCGGTATGTCTGAACATGTGCAGATATCACTGATACCTGTAAAGTGAAATGATGGATCCCAGTAA